CGATAACGGACCCGAAATGCGGAAGCAAAAGAAGCCAAATGACCTCAAGAGATGTACATCATCCCTAAGGCCCCAAAATAACTCTCCATGAAGCCACGGAACTCAAATGAGCAAAGCAAATGAAGCAAGAATGCCTAACCCGAAAAGAGATGAACTAAGGGCAAAATGGTCATTTCTCACTGAAAATGGTGCCATCGTGCACACCATTGGAAGGACAATGAAAAATGAACAAAATTAGACCCAAGAATCGTCTGATTCTGAGTCCGGGTAGAAAAGATATGAAATTCCAACACCCGATGCGAAAGTTATGAAGCAATGACTTAACATTTTCCAATATTTTCATAATAAACTTTGAAAACAAAAGTGCATAGAAAACGCGATACATGTCATTGGCCTCCAGCCTCATCTTATACATGTTAAATACATTGAAAAGAGTGCACTTACATACACTTTACATATACGAATCAACGAATACAAGTTTAAACAAATAGGGCTACAAAGAGGCATCTTATGCTAACACTTGCATAAAATAGAAACTTAGAAACTGTAAGCCATCCAAGAAGCAATGGAATCTTCAAATCCTGAGTCCTGTACCTAAAATATGCCCCAGTATCGTAGGGGTGAGTAACATAAAGCTACTCGTAGGAGATGAACATGCATCGACTTAGCATTTTACAACTTTATCACCTTATGGGGAAACATGTTAAAGGGGCTCATGCCACCTAACGTCTATGTCAAGATGAGACCCAGGGAGCATCCTAATCTACCTAGATCATTTCTATCATAATCACATTGTTCATGCAATTCAAACAACATGGAAACATGTTATACAAGGCAACAAGATATAGATTTTCAAAGTCTTCAACTTGAAATCCAAAATATGAAAACAACAAGTGTGGGTCATGCCACCTAACGTCTATGTTCAAAATGAATCTATAAGGTCATTCCTAAACTACATTTGAATATCAAAACACAAATTATGATATCGATGCAATTTAACCAACAATGGAACTTCTAATATAACGCATGAAGCATGTTTTCACAAAGCTACATCTTAAGTTCAAAATAGGAAATCAAATAAGGAACAACAAGTTACGATATCATCTAGTTATCAACTTGAAATGAAATACGAAATCAAACAAAGTGGATACTCGGACGTCACGCCAGATCAGACCGACAACATAGTTACTTTAGAGTTACTAGCCCATAGGTAACCTCCTTACGTGCGCACTAGACTATATAGAAGGACAATCCTCCGTACTAAAACCAAGTCCTAGCCGTAACCAAACAACGACATCCCCAAGTTTCCAAAATCAACAAATTGTGTAACAACATATATATATCAACATATATATACAAGATATCAACTATTTACCAAGCACAATCCAAAATTTGGAAACTTATACAATACATGCTCAAAATTCACAACTACAATAGCATGTAAAATGTCAAATATAAAGTGTGCAATTCCTTACACATAGCAACAATATATTAAATAAGGAAAAACATATTCTCATGAATATAAAAGTAACAACTATGTTATCCAATACTTAAAAGTAATCAAGTGAACATACATCAAATCCAAATCCATGATTTAAATATAGAAACAACTTCCAAAATGCAATTAAATCCATGGAGTAATAAAGTAGAATTTAATTAAACATAAATAGTTAAATTCTCTAAATTTCAAGTTAATCCAAATAACCTCAATTTAATATATATTGAAAGACATGTCAAGGTCATCATATATATAATATCAAATGACAAGTTAAGTGATTAAAACACTTAAAACAAAATTAGTCAAGCTAATTAATTAATTTCCTCTAGATTTTTAAACAATTCCAAATGCCCTCAATTTAATCTATGTTAGAGAACATCCCAAGGCCTATTTAAATATCACATTACAACTTGATTTAATGCTTGATACAACCATGTGAATTAAACTTTTACTAAAGATAAATATTAAATAAAAGTTGTAATTCTTAACCAAATGATCCAAATTTAATTTATGTTAACCAATATATCTAAGCATAATTTCTTAGCATGTTACAATTCAAATCAAAGTTATATATCATCATAAATTTTAAATCTTATACAAAGAAATAAAAATTACTAACTTTCTAAATTTGATACAAGGCATACATATATGTTGTATAATCATGACAAACACACAATACAACACACAAATAATCCTAAAACATTCCCTACCTCAATTGGAATGAAAATCCCAATTACCACTGAAATGAAATCGCCCAAAATTTTCGGTCCGCAAAACAGATTTTTCAGCTTGCTACCTTCAACTTGTAAAATTCATAAAAAATTCAATTCTAACCCAAATTGAATGAATCCAAAGCCCAATGAAAGCTTAAACACTTTAATTTGATAATATCAATTTAGTTTAACAAAATATTTTCCCAATTGAAACAGTTTTGCCCCACAAATTTGAAACAAATTCTGCCCAGAAAACATATTTTCAGCCTGTAGCTTCCAACTTTGAAAATTCATGAAAAATTCATTTTGACATCCAAATTGGGCAAACCTAATTTATTTTGGAAGTAAACATATGAGAGTGTAAAAATAAAATTTTAAGCCATGATCCAATGTCAAAAGGTTAGTGAAATAAATCATCTAAAAATATGTTTTCCAGCTACAATAAAAACATGGACAGCAGATAGTTTTGGATTTTCAAAAAAACTTAGAAATGCTCTAAAATCGTGAAAAAATTCTGAGTAGTATAAAACCTATGGGGAAAGTTCCAGTAAAAATTTCAAGGCAATTTAAGCATCACAGCTCCATATAAAAATTCATTTCCGGACTGAAAAGGAAAAGCTTCAAATTTCCAGCAACTAGCTTTCAACTTCAAAAATTCATAACTAATTCATTTTAAATCCAAATTACATGAAACCAAAACTAAATGAAATCTAATTGAGTATATTTTCATATTCTATATTTAATTTAACAAGATTAATTTTAAGTTAAAACAGTTTAAGGGCAAAATACAAGTTCTTCACTTCTATGCATGTAAAACACTCAATAATGACATAAAAATACTTCAAAATAATAGATCAATACCTCACTAGAGAATTGAATCTCTAGATACCAAAGCAAAACTAGGAGTTAGGCTAGATCCTTTAAGGGTTTTGAAGAGGAGGATGAGGGGCACAAAAAGTATTCCAAGCTTTATGGTCTAAAGTAAGTCGAAGGGCCTCAAAGATCAAGGTCAATGCCTAAGGCTTCAAGCTCCATCCATGGAGGCTAGGATTTTCTTGTAAGGAAGAGAATGAAATAATGTGGTTAAGTGTGAGTGGAGGAAATAGAAATCCTCCACTCACTATGTGCTCTTACACCATAGTCAACACACACATCTATGGTCAATTGCACAAAAACCCTCCTTTAAAACCATGATCCCAAAGTGGACCAAAGATATTTGCAAGACTAAATTGTGAACCTACACTTATCACCAATCCATGGCTCATTCCAAGACTTAATCCCATACCTACACTTATCAACCATCCAATCCAACAAGTGCACCAATCCCAGGCCAACAAGTGGGTGAATTCTCACCCTCCAAATGTCATCATCCAATGCATTAAAGTGTTTTCACACAAATGTCAACAAGTGGACCAATGAGAGTGTGACATTTGTCACACTTTTCAAAAATTGCAAAAAGGTCCTTTTTGAAAATATCTTCTAAACTTAATTGCAAAATGGTCCCCAAGATAAAAAATAATTACTTTATTTAATTACACTAAAACCCCACAAGTTAAGAATAATTACACTAAAGTATGCATTAATGCCCCTTTATGAAAGAAGTAAGCAATCAACATGCTTTTCTAGAAAAGTAAAAATACCACTATCATGGAAATCAAATATCATGAATGCATGCAAAACTGGAATCAAATCCGAGCACAAAAAATGAGGTTGTGTAAGGAAAAAGGATAAACGAGAAAAAGACAAAATGTGAATAGTGTTCGGAAAAATAAAATATGGAAATGACACAATCCCCAAAGGAAGTTGTCAATCCAAGGAAAAGAATCTCAGAAATCATTCCAGAGCATTCGAGACGACATCAAGTGATGAAAAACCGAACCCAAAAAGTAAAAGACAACGGAAAAAAAAATATCCGTTAAAATCTGAGAAAAAAGAAAAGGAAGAAAAATGACCGGGTCATTACATAACTAACACTGGAGTACTGAACCTTCACTGTCACAGTGATTTTGATCAAAACAGACTGAAACATAGCACTGCACTATTACAAATCACTGAGAACAATATGATACAAGGTAGTAAATGTCAATATAACCCCTGAACGTTATTTCAATACACAATGTAGAAAGAAATCATACTTGAAGCCACTGAAACCACACTTTTTGACATTAAAAGATAAACATTTCTTATGATAACTTAGGACCAACAATCTCCCTCTTTTGCCTATAATGTCAAAAGCCAATTAACCTTGAAATAAGATATTGAGAATGAGAACTTTCAAAGATAAAGATTCAATAAATTAGAACAACCCAAATGCAAAAAGAATAGCTTTAAGCTATCTTTATTTCAGTCCATTTTCCCCCCTTTTTGACATTGAAGGTCAAAAAGTGAGTAGGACCAACAATATAGGTTCAGAAGGGAGGAGGAACAACCCTGAGAAGATCTCTAAGGGTTGAAAATCTCTGAGGAAGAAGAGGTTTGGTCATGATATCTACAAGTTGATCTTCAGTTGGCAAGTAAGTAATATCAATAAGGCCTTTTTAAACTTTGTCTCTGAGAAGTGATACCTGATATCCCTGTGTTTGCTTTTCCAGTGCAGTGTGGGATTTTTGCTGATAGTAATAGCACTTTGGTTGTCACAGAAAAGCTTTGGAGGTCCTGGAAATTGAAGTCCAAGGTCTAAAAGTGTATTTTTTATCCAAAGTAGTTAAGAGCCAGCTTGTAAGGCAGCTATATACTTAGCTTCAGAGGTTGAGAGAGAGATAGTGTCCTGCTTTTACTTAGCCAAGAAACTACATTGGAACCAACAACATAACAGCAACTAGATGTACTTTTTCTGTCAGGTAAAGATCCACCCCAATCAGCATCTGAGAAGGCTGTAATAGACATTGAGGGTGAGAAAGTGTAGTATAAACCATTTGACAAGGTTCTCTTAACATATCTGAGAATTCTTTTGGCAGCTTGAAGATGAGACACCTTTGGATTACTTTAAAATCTAGCCACTAAACCTACTAAATACATTATATCAGGCCTTGAAGCAGTAAGATACAGCAAACTACCAATGATTGACCTATAAAGTGTTGAAGGAATAGCTTCAGTGGAACACTCCAGTGAGAGTTTGGTATTAGGACATAGTGGTGTTGAGACAACCTTACAATCATCTATTTTGAACTTTTTAAGTAGCTCACTGAGAGATGAAGAATCCAGTGGATGTTTGAGTAATTTGCAAGCCTAAAAAGTATCTGAGAGTCCCCAAAAGTGACATTTCAAAAGTTGTCTTCTTGAGATTAGCAAATTCTGAAGCTAATGAGGTGTCTGGGCCACAAACCATGATATCATCAACATAGATTTGCAAAATTAGAAACTGTTTTTAATAAGTTTTTATATAAAGAGTATTATCAACCTTGCCTTTGTGAAATCCTTGTTCAACTAAGAACTGATGCAGCTTCTCATACCGAGCTCTGGGTGCTTGTTTGAGACCATACAAAGCCTTACTTAGTTTGTAAACATGAGAGGGAAACTCTAAATCTTCAAAGCCTTCAGATTATTCCAAGTAGACTTTTTCATTGAGATCTCCATTAAGAAAAGCAGACTTGACATCCATTTGGTATACTTTGACCTGTTTGTGATAGGCAAAAGATAAAAGCATTTTAATGGATTCCATTCTTGCAACTGGAGCAAAAGTTTCATCATAATCAATACCAACCTGCTGAGAGTAACCTTTACACACCAGTCTTGCCTTGTTTCTGATAACTGATCCCTTTTCATCCATTTTATTTCTGAAAACCCACTTTAAGCCAATTACATTCTTGTCTTCAGGTCTGGGAACAAGTGTCCAGGTATCATTATTATTGATTTGATCAAGTTCCTCTTACATAGTAGCTAGCCAATCTTTATTTTTCTGAGCTTCAAAATAAGACTTTGGTTCAATGGATGACAGCATAGCAAAGTGACTGTATTCTTCACCATCTATAGCTTCTAATTCATTTAGCTTCTTTTTGTTTCTTGTTTGGAACTCCAGCTTGAGGTGAACCAATGATGTTCTCAGCTTGAACTTGCTTTTGCAGCACTGGATAAGTGGTTTCTCTTGGATCTTCCGGTTTAGTAACTGAGGAACTGGTTTCATTCGAACCAAAAGTATTGTCACAATCTTCAAGAGGTGTGGACTTAGGATTCTCATCAAACTTCACATGAATAACCACCTTTGAAGACCTTAGATTGTAGCACCTGTAAGCTTTGCTTTTTGTAGAATATCCCAAGAATATGCCTTCATCTGCCTTTGAATCAAACTTACCCAAACTATCAATGTGATTCAATATATAACATTTGTTGCCAAATATTTTGAAATAGTGAACAGTTATAAGTCTTTCATACCACAATTCATAAGGTGTTTTGGTTGAATTAGGTCTGAGAAGAACCCTATTTATGATGTTCACAGTAGTACTCACAGCTTCAGCCCAAAAACCCTTTGCTAGACCTTTTTCTAAAAGCATTGTTCTACCCATTTCTTGAACTGTCATGATCTTCCTTTCTACAACCCCATTCTGTTGTAGAGTAGTAACAGCTGAGAACTCTTTCTTGATACCCTTATCATTACAGTAGTGCTCAAACTCCTTTATGATGAATTCTGAGCCAAAGTCAGACCTAAGTCTCTTCACAATGCTACTTCTTTCATTTTTAACAAAATTAACAAACTTAATGAAGTGTGTAATAACTTCTGATTTCTCCTTTAAGAAGTAAACCCACACCATTCTACTAAAGTCATTAATAAAAAGCATGAAGTACTTACTCCCACCAATGCTAGTAGTTCTAGTAGGACCACAAAGATCCATGTGTATCAGGTCAAGTGCTCTTGAGGTGTTGATTTCTTTTGAAGGAAATGAAATTTTGATTTGTTTTCCTTGTTAACATGCTTTACAGAGGTGATCATCTTTAAAATTGAGTTCAGGAAGTCCTTTGACAGCTTTTAGCTTCAAAATCTTGGACAAATTTCTTAAATGAAGATGCCTTAGTCTTTTATACCACAAATTAGCTTCATCACAGGTTGTCAAGTTGCATTGAGTAGCTTAGAATTCTTCAGTGATAGTATAAACATTTCCTGATGATCTACATGCTGAGAAGAGAACTTGTTTTGATTTAAGATCAACCACATTGCACTTTTCTTTGTCAAAACACACAGTCCTCCCACTATCACATAACTGACTTACACTAAGAAGGTTGTGTTTGAGTCCTTCAACAAGTAAGACTTCTTGAATCTCAGGTAATTCTTCAGACTTGCTCATAATACCTATACCAACAATTTTAGCTTTCTGATTGTCTCCAAAGATCACATCTCCATCATCAAATTATTTCAGAGTGATAAATTTAGAGCCATCACCTGTCATTTGTCTTGAGCAGCCACTATCAATTTACCATTTGTCCACTTTGTTACAAGCCTTGAAGGCTGTATACACAAGTAAATTCACTGAATTTAACTTCTTGGGAATCCACATCATCCTGGATTTCACAATAGAATCTTTGTTCTTGACCTTCTGAACTTGAGCTATATCAGACTTCTTCATATACATTTTGGTTACTTTAAAGTTCTTTATAGATGTTGTAACAAAATCACTTTTGTTTAGTCTTGAGGAGTTGAAATTATTATCAAGCAAATCAAATTTTGATCTCAAGGGTTTTATAACAGGATACCTTGCATACACTTCACCAATTGTGGCTTTGACAAATACAAAGTAAGTTTGATTGACCTTTGTGGCTGAATCACACACATAGCCAATTCCAGTCTTCCCAATTTGCTTTGTGGATTACTTCCAGATCTCAGCCATCTTTAGGGATCTTTCTTCAAGAATGAGAGATAGTTCTTCTTTACACTTCTTGGTAGACCATTGAGTGTTAATTTGATTTCAATAGGCTTTGAAAAATAAGAGAAACTGAACACATCATTGACAGTTTAAGTTTGAAGTGTTTAGTAAGAACTTGTTTGGACTTTAACAATTCTGAATTTAGCCTTTTTATTTAAGACTTCTGTTGATTACACTTCACTGTAAGCCTATCATATTCTTCAAGAATTTACTCAATCTCAGTGTCACTATCTTCTTCAACTTGAATTGGAATTTGTGGTGCTTCAAGAATAGCCATAAAGAGACATTCATCTTCTTGTGTCTCCTCAGGTTTATCTTCTTCAAGAGCTGCATCCCAGTCTGAGATAAGTGCTTTTCTATAAAACCTTCCTTTGTAGTTTCCTCCCTCATTCTTCTTCTGACTTTGCCCATTTGAGTTAGGATAATTAGATACAACATGACCAGGTTTATCCCAACCATAATAGGTTAAATTTTGCAGCTAATTCTTCTTTTTAAACCTGAACTTTCTAAATTTCTTAGCAAGGTAGGCTACCTTATCTTCTTCAAGATCATCTTCAGACTTTGTTTCAATTTCTTCAACAACTTCTTTTGCTTTAAGAGCAGCTTCTCTTCTATGAACAGCTGGAACACCAATTCTCATTTCATAGGTAGTGAGAGAGGCTTGAAGCTCATTAATCTTCACCTGAGAAAGATCTTTGTCTTCGAGAATTGCCACTTTAGGATTGAATCTAGAAGTGAGTGACCATAGTATCTTCTTACAAACATCAACATCCTTAATATCTTCACCAAGAGCTCTCATATTGTTAACAAGGTCATTGATCCTGAACATGTACTCAGTAACAGTTTCTCTTTCTTCCATTTTATAGACCTCATACTGAACTTTGAATAGTTGTATCTTGTTCTCCTTAATAACCTTATTTCCCTCATGAGCTGCCTGAAGAGAATCCCACATTTCATTGGCTTAATGAATTGAGGTGTCAAATATGAATAACAGAATTCTGCTTAAACATGGTTAGATCTTTGATCAGTTATGCTACATTATCTCTTTCATTTTAGAGTTTAGCCTTATTGATATCGATGCATATTATGAACTGCATTCTATCTTAGTCTGTCTCAAGAATACCTTTTGAGCTGTGTTTTTTACTAAATCTTAGTTTGAATCATATGCACATATGGGGTAGTCTTGCACATGTGTACTTGATATGGACAAGTAAGTTTGAAGCAGATCATACGCATAATAGATTTGATAATTACTCTAAAGGCGCTAAGATGGATTATTTTATGATCTCAATGATAAAAGTTGATTGTTTACGCTCACTGTTTACCTATAGGAGGATCATATTATGAATCACATACCTAGTAGCATAATGTTAGAGAATATGGTATGAGTACCAGATGTACCACAAATGAACACACTTATTATAGAGATTAAGAATCATATATGAATTCCCTATTGATGCGCCAGCATCATCTAATACACATATTCCTGCATCGGTACATTGTTGTAGTGGGAGTATTATCATCCAATCTGACAGAATCATGTTTTTAGGTAAGACCTTATGGACATCTCTGTTAAACATGAGTTGTACCTAGTGAGCTACACGGAAGTGTGAACCGATATGGATACAGATCATTTTGGTAAGTTGCTATGAAATCAGAGTAGGAATCTATGTATTCTAATAAAATCTAAGATCTTGTAGAACTTTCTAGTAGGGTGAATGCTACATCAATTATTATTATTATAATTTTTTGAGAAATCCTTTCAATCTTTGAATTTTGATTGATGCACGAGACTGCAAGGTTAATCTCGAATACATCATAAATCACATATATCGTTTAAAATCTGAGAGTGTTTTTGAACTTGTAATAGTAGAACCTAAAATGTCCAGAGTTTATCATTTGCGTGAAAGTTGACCACATAAAATTATTGCTTCAAAATAAATTCTAACATCTCTAACATAAAATTATTTTATCTATAGTAGTAAGTAATATATATTAATACATCTCTAACATGAAAAACAATACTCGGGCACTAACCGTCGATCTTTTTCCTCCACGTGCACCGCGTATTAGAAATAATTACCTGAATCCAAGTATCTGGGCAAATATCAAATTTCATAAGTTTAGTGACAAGTATTATTATACTAAGTTCGATTATAGTAGTATTTAAGTATGAAATCGACCTGCCCCTTGAAAAGGGCTTGTCTAGTTTATACTCAATTGTTCTCTAATGATGAGTACCTATTAAGAAAAGTCATTTATATTTGACTATTTCCATCATGCACTAGGGGTGTAACTCGGGCTGACCCAACCCGAAATAATCCGAGTCTAATCCAAAATTTTGTGGGTTTCAGCAATGTTTTTCTAATTTCGGTTTGGGCATATTTTGAGCCCGAATTCAATTTAGTCTGGACTTGGATTGATATGGACGAAGCCCACAGCCCAACTCGAGCCCGAAAATATTATATATATTTATAATTATACTTAAGTGATAAGAGTGTAATAGCTAAATTGATAGTGTGTTTGGGATTTATACTTAGGGTTTTAGGTTCAAGTCATGAGTATAACATTAATTGATTTATTTTATACACAATTTCTTCTGAGGTGGGCTTAGTGTATGGGCTGGGCCTGGGCAGCTCGACTTGGGCAGGCTTAAGTCGGGTTCGGGCTAGGCTTGGGTTGAAGATTTTCTATATGGGCCTAGACCGAGATAAGTGCCAAGCCCGCCCAACCCGAGTTGCAGCCCTATCATGCACAATTGCGCATATTACTTCTACCAAGTTGCATATATATATATAATTTTGTTACTTGAAAAATGATAAACTTTTTTTTGTGGTAAGTCAAACCAATTTATTAGAAAAAAGAAGAATACAAGGAAGCCCAAAAAAAAGAAAAAACAGAGGCCCAACAAGGC